TCCCTAATTCTCTCTCTCTAAAAAAAGTTTTCTTTTCTCTCTCTAAAAAGGAATGGAACCTAACGAAAGCCACCATCCTCACCACCACCACCAACAGCAACAGCAGCAGCAGCAGCAACAACGTCTCAGTTCTCCTTACTTCCACCACCACCACAACTTGCAACCCCATCACCACCATCCAACCACCGCTTCTACCGGAAACGCCGTTCCATCTTCCAACAATGGGCTTTTTCCGCCGCAACAGCCGCCTCAGCCAAACGATGGGTCGTCTTCTCTATCGGTGTATCCTCACTCAGTTCCTTCCTCGGCTGTGACGGCGCCGATGGAGCCGTTAAAGAGGAAAAGAGGTAGACCGAGAAAGTATGTGACGCCGGAACAAGCCCTAGCGGCTAAGAAAATGGCTTCTTCTGCTAGTAGCTCGTCGGCTAAAGAGAGACGAGAGCAAGCTGCTGCAGCCGGAGGTACGGTTTCGTCTAATTCTGGGTCGTCGTCGAAGAAATCTCAGCTCGGTTCTGTCGGTGGGTTATAGACTCTTTTCCGAGAAAATCCCTTTCTGTTTCTCTTGATTTTGATATTAAAGTTTCCAACTTTCTTGGTGAATTTTGAATTCCAAGTTCTAATTTTGGATTAAATTTAGCTGCTAATTCGTAGTGTTATGATTTGGGACGTAATTGTGTGCAATTGCATTATGTAACTCTGTAAATTTCATCTCAAGTTTCCGTATATATTCATAATTAGAGCTCAAAGCATCTCTTGCAGACACAGTAGATAGTCTTTTGTTTCTTTACAGATACAATTGATTCAATTTGAGTATCTTATCAAGTGATTCACTAGTGAGATTCTGGAATTGGTGTTATACTTTGAACTTTACAAGAAGTTCTTTTTTTGTTTGTGTGCAGGGAAAACTGGGCAAAGCTTTACTCCGCATATCGTTAATATAGCTCCTGCTGAGGTATGTTATGTGCTTTATACACTCAAGATCCTTTTAACTCTTATATATATTCTTTGGTTTAAGACACAATCTAGAAAAAAGTTCAAATCTAATGTGGAAGAGATTCTGCTAAAAGGTTATCTATGAAATATATTGGAGTGGAATCTTAACTTTTTTTAATTGTTCTCTGGATGTATCTGACAGGATGTGGCCCAGAAGATTGTGCTTTTTGCAAACCAAAGCAAGCATGAACTATGTGTTCTTTCTGCATCAGGCACCATCTCTAGTGCATCCTTGCGCCAGCCAGCTACATCAGGAGGCAACATATCATATGAGGTGATTTTCTCTTTGCCGTAAATTAATACGCCGTCTGGCTTCTTTGTTGTTTCTTCCGAAGAGTAGAGGAAGTTTCTTTCTTTCTGGTGTTCTCTGTTCTTTGTGCTAGAGAAGAATTAAGTCATAAGACAGTTGGTTTGTTGTGAGAGCTAAATGATTCTTAATTCAGACACTTTCTTTGGAGTTTGCATATTATAGTTAGACTTGCTTCAGAATTCCGATCATTTTTCTTCAGGGTCAGTACGAGATTCTCTCACTATCTGGATCATTTGTCCGGGCCGAACAAGGTGGTAAAACCGGTGGCCTTAGTGTTTCTTTATCTAGATCGGATGGTCAGATTATCGGTGGAGCGGTTGGGACACACCTCATAGCTGCTGGCCCGGTTCAGGTAAAAATCCTGCTGTGGCATACGTTTGTCCTTTTTTGTGTTAACGTTTCCAACTATCTTGCACAGCTTAACGGGGTATAATAAGTTCTGGCTTTGACTGATCGCCTTAGATTTGTGCCTATACAGGTGATTCTTGGTACGTTTCAGCTTGATAGAAAGAAGGATACTGCAGGGAGTGGTGGGAAAGGGGATGCTTCTAACAGTGGAAGTCGGTTAACTTCTCCCACTAGCACTGGTCCGTTGCTTGGCATGGGTTTCCATTCTGGTATGGAATCTTCCGGAAGAAATCCAATGAGGGGAAACGATCAGCATCAGCATCATCAGTCCGGTTTGGGTGGATCTCATCATTTCATGATGCAACCACCGCAAGGAATGCACATGACACATTCCCGGCCTTCTGAATGGGGCGGAGGAGGCAATAGCGGTCATGATGGTAGAGGCGGTGGTGGGTATGATTTGTCAGGTAAAAAGAATCTGAAAGACTTTTGTCATTTCAATCAACGTGTTGAAACCTTTGAATCCAAACGATGACATATCGAAATTGCAACGGATATGGTAGAGATTGAGAATTTACAGGCGATAACCGAGCTAAGAAAACCCTCATGGATTGTAATCTTGTGCAGGGCGGATAGGACATGAGTCATCGGAGAATGGGGATTACGAGCAGCAATTGCCTGACTAGCACCAATGCAGAGAGCTTCAAGAGACGTGTGTAGAGTTTAGATTCAAACTAGGAACCAAAGCCCCGAGCAAGAATCTGAACTGAGAGAGGACATGAAGGGTTTTTTCATCAGAGAAAGAAGTTGAGTGATGCTTTTGTTCTTCTTGGTTCGGTGTAATATATATAAATTCCACAGCCTTTTTTTTCTTTCTTTCAGTAACAGCTGATTCTACTTCTCTCTCATTTTCATTCC